CACCAGAGATGATTGAGAACTCAGTGAATGAGTGATTTTCCATTTCCTTTTCTGTATCTTCTTTTTTTTCAATGTATTTTAATTTCAACACAAGAGAACTATGAAGTTAGGCCAAATCTCAATTTGTCTGTATCCTTCCAGTTGGCGGATTGAACGGTATCACTGGGACGATTTAGCCTAACTCCCTGGGATCATCGTTTGGGACAGATAAGCCACTAGCACTTTAAAAAGGTGTGAAGGAAGGGGATGAATCAGGGCATGAAAAAGTATGCCACTGGTGAATAAGGAAGGCAAATCAGGTAGAACAACTGAAGGTGCCTGAGATATGCCATGATAAATTTAAGAGTATCTTGGTCACTTATCTGAAAATTCAAATATCACCTTCTGGAATAATCTTTTAAGCAGTGCTGGAGATTTGCTTTTCCATACATTCATCAGGGTAAAGATCTGGCTGAATGTTCAGAAATTCTCTTGATTCCACATCCAATGTATTACATTACATCATGAATGCAAAAAGCTAAAGTAAGGAACCCACTGTTGGCTGCTTGTCCCAAGCCTTCTTTCTTAAACTTGCGCCTCCACAGAATTGTCTAGGGATGCAGAAATGCAAATTTGAGACTTTTCTTTGTTCCTTTCTATCCCTTTTTTTCCCCAAACAGCATCATTTTTTTTGGCTTTGCAGGCAGAAATTCCACAAAGAAATGACCCTATGTTTTAGAGGCAGATGAGCAGGAGTAGTAATGCCTGTATGGAAATCACGTGAGTTGAGCACAAGATCAAGCATTCTTAATCTTTATCTATGCAGAACAATACAATTTAAAGTGTTGTGTAAGCATGGCTCAATAATGGAAATCCCTGCTAAAGCAAGAGATTTTGTAGTTTTATCTGAAATGACCAGGCACAAACAGAAATAATTATGTACCTATGTAGAGAGTCATGAAATGGTCAATTACCCTTCTTCTTCCACCCTGCTCTTTTTATTTAGAATGTGGCAAGTTCAAGTGTCTCAGTTCTAAAACCATATAATGTAGCAAAGACAGCACATTTAGGAGCTTGTGAAGTTTATCAGCAAAGCCTAAAGCCTTACCTAATCCCCAAGAAGAGCAGGTATGTCTTCTCCAATTATATTGCTCTAAGTGCACAGAATTCAAGTGTGTGCTTTGCATTGCAAGAGGCATCTTCCTTGGCAGCAAACAGGGGTTTGCCCAGCCTTTATTCTGGAGCCTCCACTCCTTTACACTAAGGCCTCCCAACTAAATTTGTGCTGTAAAACTCTGCTTGCTGTTTCTAGTAAACCACTGCATTTTCATTCTCCATTTCCAAAGTACAGCAGTGTAAGTAAATCAGTATTTCTCACTGCTAGAAGCACAATGTACCTAACACCAAATATTAACCAAATATCAAACCCTGTGGAAAGAAGGCCCCTAAAGAAAATTGATTCTTAAAAATGAGTCTGTTTATCTTAGTGGGTCTAGACCAAAATAGCTCAGCCAACAACCCTCAGCAAGATGTTTATCAAATATGAAGGCTCCTGACAATACTCACCCTCATAAGTGGTGAAATGAAGTCATTTTTAATGGCAATAAATTACTTTTTAATGAAAGAAAATGTCGAATAATCTTTTCCTCAGATAACTTCAATATAGTGCAAAGCTAATGGCCATGTAGGAGATTGCTTGGAGTACAATACAGACTATTATTCTAAATCAGCCCCTTGCCAAGACAGGAAGGAGTGACTGGTTATTATTTGTATTAGCCTCTAATATCCAGTATCTGAAGGGGGGCCTATAAGGATGCTGAGAAGGGACTCTTCATTAGGGACTGTAGCAATAGGACTAGGGGCAATGAGTTTATACTTAAACAAGGGAAGTTTAGATTGGATATAAGGAAGAAGTTCTTTACTGTAAGGGTGGTGAGGCACTGGAATGGGTTGCCGAAGGAAGTTGTGAATGCTCCATCCCTGGTGGTGTTCAAGGCCACGCTGGAAGGAGCCTTGGATGACATGGTTTAGTGTGAGGTGTCCCTGCCCATGGCAAGGGGGTTGGAACCAAATGATCTTAAGGTCCTTTCCAACCCTAACTATTCTGTGATTCTATGATTCCATGAAATAGAGCTAGGAGGACTCTCACTGTGCTGGTTTGGCTGGGATAGAGTTAATTTTCTTCATAGTAGCTGATATGCAAGGAACACTTCCTTTTCTTTGTGAACACACTGTAACGTTTTATATTAATATGCCAATGATGAGAATTTTCTCTCCAAGTCTGTTGATAAATTACATCACATTTTGATAAAATGTAAGAATAATTTCATGTTCACAGATGTATTCCCCTTGTTATATATAGAAACCTAGAATGTTTGGTAGCCTATGCTATGATCCCCTTTGTTACTCATAAACCCTCTAATGAGTAAATATCTCTTCTAGCTTCTTCGTCTTTGTCCAAGTCAGCAAGTCAGCACTGTTTATACTTACTTGTAGTTCACAATCCCATGCTAGTCTTGGACCTGGATTAAAACTCTCCTCAGTATATTTGCAGAGCAATCTTCAGTTTCTCTTCCCCCTTTTTGTGTATTGGACTCTCATCACTCCGTGAATGACTCATGAAATATTCTTGGGTAAATCAGTGAAAACCCTTCTGACAGCACCATCTGCTCAGTCATACATTTGTCTACCAGGTGCATCTTTATGTGGATATGTTTCGTCCCTTCACTGGTGTCCCTTCACTGGAAGGACAGATGGAGTCCCCAGTCCTTCACTTTTTCTTCCAGTATCTCACAGTCATTTTGAGTCCGTGTAGCACCATCAGCAGGGCTCACATGACTGAGCAGAACCATGCCTTTGCCGGTGGTCTGGATGTGCATCAGCAACTTTCAGTTATATTTCAGCTTGCATTTTTCTTTATTAAGTGTTTCTTACTCTAATCAGGTCTCAGGCATATTGGCATATTTATAGTTAGATTTCAGTTCTTATTGGCTGTATTATACTTTATTTATATTAGCATTTATTACTGGTTTTCTGCAGCTTCATCATTAGTATCCTTAATCTTAAATTTTATTCCTAATCAAAACCAAGTCTAGTAAAGAAGGAGAACATGTTAACACAGATAATCATGACCTCTATAAACTTTCTAAGCAGTGAAGTAAGTACTGTATGTCAGCACATCTGCCATGCAACTCCCTCAAACAAAGATTATCTTGGCCTTAATTTTTTCACAGTTTGCATTTCCTAATCTCCTCAGTAAAAAGCCATTTGCCATAAGTGACCAGTTAAAGTTCTCAATGAATTCCAACTTTTTTTCCCCTAAAAGTACTATACTTGGCTTCTTGCTTTTGCCTGTTACAACTCTAATATCATGCCATGAAATCCGCAGTCCTTACGTGTTTCAACAGAGATCTCATATCCCATCTGTTGACACAGAATGTGAAGTGATCTCAGACCAGTAACTGGGCACTGCTGACAGCTTCAGTCGGTTGAGGTTCAACACAGGGCACTGGTTCATTGCCATTCATTGGATTCCCAGGCAAGAACTGGAAATCACAGAGCTCCTCGATTGTAAAGCCTGACTAATCAAGTGTAAACACTTCTTTTCCTGTATCTCCTTAATTTTATGAGTACATCTTCTCTCTTTATTAGACTGAGCAATGGCCAGATAATTCATCGTCCCTGAGAGACAATAACAGCGAAGAGCTCTGGAGAAGCCCCAGTGAAGAAAAGCTGGACTTCTTTTATTTCACATATTTTCTATTTCTATTCCTTCCTGCACCTATTTTTAATAGGCTAGAAAGCATCTGTTAAGTAATAGTTACCTTGCCAACAGTGTCTTTAATTGTTACAGGATCCTAGATCTACTAAACAGGAGGAAAGACACAAGTTCATATCCCTTTTATTTCCAAAATCAAAGCTATTGCCTCCTGTGCCAATACCAAAGAGTGATAAAACAAAACAAACTTTGGCTTGCATCCATGTTTACAGCCTCGTGTATCTTCCTAAGCTACAGTGTGGTGACACTGATCCACTTCACCCTAGGGAAACTTCCAAAGGAAATCCCTTTTGAAATGCCTTTTATGACTTATTTTATATATGCTGTATTTTGGCTTCCCAAGCTTTTTCCAAATTATATTTGTTGAACAATATATTTAGAGACTCCATAGTACTAAATTCTAGTAGAATTTGGTAAACTTATACTTCAATTGCCAAATCTTTACCACTACAGTGTGCTAAGACCATGACTTTATTACTAACTTACTTTCACTTTCTACTCTGTTGCCAGTCAAAATCAATTCCAGTTAACAATTCCAGCTTAATATTCCTATGCAGTTGACATCTCTGTTGCAGGAAGGTGCTACACTTCTGTGGGTAGCATGCCAACTTCATTATATCAAGAAGCTAGAGTCTAAATGAAGAGGATTATTCAAAGTCTGCTTCTTTTCTGTCTTAGTATCTGTTAGCCTGAAAAAAGTCTTAGTAAGGTTAATGCTTCAAGCAACACCTATTGAGAGCACCAGACCACCCGCAGCACAAATTATCTGTTTTCCATTATTTGGAAACTTTAATCTCCATGCAATTAATCAAAAGTACAGGCACAATTTAAAGGTACATTCTTGAGACTGTGAGGAAGCATCTTATTTGTAATGTAAAAGTCTTTATTCCTCACGTCTTTGTTCCTCACTGTAGAGGGTAGAAGCCCACATGCAGCCTCGCCAGAGGTTGAGTCCCGGCTATACTGAGCTCTTGTCCAAGAATAAGCAATTTAATTACTGACAACAAACCAGCAAATTAACTGCAGTCACTCAGGAGCTGACTACAATTACAGGAGGTGGTTTCTCCAGGATATTCCCATTAGAAAGAGAAGAACCAGCAGCCAGCAACCTGTGGTACAAAACTTGTAGTCTTATTCTTTTGTGTAGCAGAGACCTAATACACGCACCTACATTTTGGTAGTATCCACAGGTATATATGAAAACCAAGTGGTTAATGGACTCGTAGTATGTGTAATACTCTACCTATCTCTTTCTGGCTGCAAATTGTTTTCCATTAAGCACCCAGCAAGTAAGAAATTTCTTTCAGTGGTCCTCCAAACTCAGGACTAGTGTAGCATCTTCAGGCTCCCCTTCGGTAATGAGTGGTTTCCATTTATCCCTGGGGTGCAATCCTTTTTTTTGCACTCCTGCCAAAATTCTGAGGTACCTCATTGGTAGTGATACTTCCAGGGTCACTTCCAGTATACACCGTTACTTTCATTTCTTTTACTAATTCCAGTGTTAGTGACACTTCCAGTAATTCCTGCAAAAGACGGAATTTGTCACAGAATGCTAGAAATACTGAGGTTGGGAGGGACCTCTGGAGCTCATCTGGACTCACCCCAGCTCTAAGAAGGGCTAGACTCAACTTATCAGGGCCTTGACAAGTACTTTTGAATGTTTCCAAGGATGGAGGTACCTGAGCCTCTCTGAGCACCCACCCTAGTGCTGCACAGTCCTCATGGTGAAGGCTCTTTCTACTGATTCAAAGTTCCCCTTGTCACAACTTCCGTCCATTGCCTCCTGTCCTTTCACTGCACACCTCTGAGGAAATATTGGTTGTATATTCTCCACAACTCTCCTTAAGAGAGTTAAAACTTGCAACTAAATCAACCCTTAGCTTCCTTTTCACCAGGCTAAACATAGGCAGTCCTCAGAAATCATACACATCTCCATGTTAATGGCCCTCCACTGTGCTCTCTCTTGTTTGTTGATACCTTCTGTTCATCAGAGACCCCCAAACCAGACAGGGTAGTGCAATTCATCCCTCTTCTTCCCTAGTGTGAATCTCAGAAGTTCAACGTCTGGAATCACAGCTTGGTTTTGGTATTGCAGAGCATACGACACCATGGGACTCTGCATCTCCATGGGTTTTGTCTAAAAAGCAGTAAAAAGGTTACAGGCTTCAAGCCTGGAAGTGTTTAACATGCATGAAAAGCACACAGACAAATGCCTTCAGGACTAGTGCATCAGACAAGAAAACAGGACTGAAACTATTAGAACTATTGATGAAAGAAGAAAATAGAAAGCCATTAGGCTATCTAAATTGTGGAATATTTGTAAAGCATGAAAGCCATGTCCACATGCTGAGACCTGTCAAGAGTACAGAGACCATAAGTTAAAACCTGTAAAATTAATCAAGCATGTTGTCTGTAGGCAGAAGACAGCTGGTAAGTGACCCTGGCCTCCCTGCTGAACACCAGGCTCACTGCTGTGCACATTTACCTGCTACTGAAAGATTCATGAGCCATTTCTCAGCCAGATGGAGCAGACTCCAGGCTCCATCCACAGGCATGGGGGTACCAGGTGAGTGGTGCAGGCTTTAGCTGAGCCCTGCAGCTGAACTGGAGAACTCAGAAGTTAATCAGAGTATCCCAGTCAGGGGTGGCAGGAGGTACCTAAGGACAGCAGCTCCAGCCCAGGAACCTCCTCACACAGCTGAGGACCTGGGAAGGAGCTGGACTCTACAGAGCATCTCCTTCTGCACACTGTCAACAGGGGCTTATTTGTAGCTGCTGCCTAAAACCTGCCTTCACTGAAGTATGCACATAGGAATTACATCCTTTTCTTTTGTTCCAATAGAATTATTTCACCATGGTATAAAATCACACAAAAATAAAACTTTAAAACATATTTTTTCTGTAGTACTACATATATATATTATAATATGGTTCAGCATGTCTTACCTTTAAAATCAACCCTTTTTTTCTCCAATATCATGAAAATACAAAAATTAACAATGAAATAGAATGTTGGTCTAAACTGACTATGACTGACAGAATGCACTTTGGAAAGGTCCATTTTATTCTACAACATGAGATGAAAAACAGTTGTCATCACTCTGCCGCGAGACAGTCACTGTAATTTCTGTTCTATAAGGATGCAATTACTGTGAGATGTTAAGTCCCCTCTAAAAGATGCTTGAACTCACTGCAGGGCCATTATAATTTACCAACATCACTTCACTGAGATCTCGATGATTTTTCTGCCATTCAGTTTCAGATAATATGGCCTCAATGACTTCAAGTTTCATTTAAATGTCAAATTCAGATTAGATCTCCAGCATGGCTGAATTCTGACCACCCACTTTGATGTGAAATTATATGGCTAGGTTGATAGAGCCCACACTCATAAGCATATTGCGCTATTTTAAGTACCCAGAGAAGTAGATAGCTTTGTCTAGAAAGACAAAAAAGGATAGTAATGGAAATCAGTTCAGGACAGGAATCTTAGATGACAGTCGTCCAGCTCAGAGAAGAGAGAAACTGCAGAGAGCAGTGCCTTTGATGGAGTATTTCTCATGTGTTAGGGTATAGGACAGATATCAATTTATACTTGGTATATTTGTATCGGTTTAGTTAGCAAATCTTCACAAGTGTGCTAGTTTTAGCTGGGATAAAGTTACTTTCCTTCATAGTAGCTACTACTAGGCTATGGTTTCAATCTGTGCTGGAAACAGTGTTGATAGCCCAGGGATGTTGTAGCTGCTGCTGAGCAGCCCTTACACAGAGCCAAGGTCTTTTCTGCTCCTCACACCACCCCACCAGAGGAGGCTGAGGGTGCACAAGGAGCTGGAAGGGGACACAGCAGGGACAGCTGACCCCAACTGATCAATATCTCTTTGGAGATACTAAAAAATGTCTATACAAGGTGCTAGGCAATTGGATCTCAGTCCTTTCCAACCTCAACTATTCTGTGATTTCATTATTCTGTCTGAAAAGGAATAATAGTTTGTTTCCCTTATATAATCTTTCAACCAGCCTGACAGTGTCAAAATCAGGTCATCTCATCACATTAATGAAGGGTGGGATTGTTACACTGGGATATCATGGGTGGTTTAGTGACTGAAAGTGAACATCATACACAGTTGGGATGTAGGAAATCAGGATTGCCAGGTTTTATTCCTAGTATCACTGCTGTTTTGATGGATGAAATGGCTTAACCTCTCTGTGTCTTACTTATCCACATGAATAATGCAAACACATTTTATTCCTTTATATAATTACCACTGAATGTGGTTTATCAGTTAATGTCCTTAGCAAGCTTGGAGATCATTATGTGAAAGGCATCACGTGTAGTACTAACATCAATTATTGAAACAGGTATATTAACAGGAGATAGAGATTAGCAGGAGAGAAATAAAGACCAAACTAACACGTGTCTTTGTGGGGTTGTACAACTGACTGACACAAATATTGCTTATTAGTTAAATACAGGCTCTAAAACGCACGTTTGCAAGCATTCGATATTGACAAACAGAGCACCCATTTGACCAAGTCCCAGGCTGTCTCCAAACCTCAGAATAAGAAACTGAGTCAAAACATAATTCAGAGTGTAAGCTCAAAAGTCTAAAAAATTAATGTTAGTCATCTTCATTAAAGCAGCCTTCCTCATGCAATCACTTCAGCCCCATATTCTTCCTTCCTCTGAGCAAAATCAGCACCACTGCTTTGAAATAAATATTTGAGCATTAAATCACAGAATCACAGAATGGTTGAGGCTGGAATGGACCACTAGTGATCATCTAATTCAAACTCCCTGCTCAACCAGGGTCACCTAGAGCACATCACTCAGGTTTGTGTCCAGACACTTCTTGAATATCTCCAGGGAAGGAGACTCCACAACATCTCTGGACAACCTATTTCAAAGCTCAGTCACCCTCACAATAAAGATGCTCTTTCTCACGTTCAGGTGCACTTCTTATGGTTTACAACAGAGTCCATTGCCTCTCATCCTGTTGCCTTATACCACTGAGAAGAGTCTGGACACATTCGTTTGACACCCTACCTTCGAATACCTACATATATATATATTTCTCATATGTGTGTGAACCTCATGAAGTTCAACAAAGCAAATCACAAGGTCCTACACCTTAGTTGGGACAGTCACAGGCATGGCTACAGGTTGGGCAGAGAAGTGATTCAAAGCAGCCCTGCAGCCAAATGGCTCATGCATGAAGTCTGTTCCTGAAGCACTGCACCCTATGGAAGAGACCCATGCTGGAGCAGTTCCTGAAGAACTGCAGCCTGTGGGAAGGACTCACACTGGAGAAGTTCATAGAGGACTGTGTCCTGTGGGAAGGACCCCACGCTGGAGCAGGGGAAGAGCGTGAAAAGGAAGGGATAGCAGAGATTACATATGATGAACTGCCCTCAGTCCTGTTCCCCATTCCTCAAGGGGTGGAGGTAGAGAAATCAGGAATGAAGTTGAGCCCAGGAAGAAGGGAGGGGTGAGGGGAAGGTATTTTAAGGTATTTTTCTTATTTCTCATTATCTTACTCTGTTGTTAACTTGCAATAAATTAATTTCCCCATAACAGTAATTGGTAAGTTACCTTCCTATCCTTATCTTGACAGATGAGCTTTTTCATCGTATTTTCTCTACGTATCTTGCTGAAGAGGGCAGTGATAGAGCAGCTTGGAGGGCACCTGGCAGCCACCCATGGTTAACTCATCACAAGCAGTTCATGCGAATTGAACTTGTTATGCTCTTACCAGAACAGCAGCACAACAAGGCTTGGCATACTCATCCTGAGAAACAACCTGACGTGTACCCATGAGACTTGAGCCTGTAGTATCAAAATCATAGCATTGCAGTCAGCTTGGAATTTCCCCCTTCTGAGGAAGTCTGAAGAGTAGGTGGCGCAATGGCTTGGTCAGTGATCAGGAATGTTACCCAGATAAAAATAACAGAACTGATGCACTGCTGATTCCCAGTAGACTGTGTCTTCCCCTTGGAGGGAAGGGACTTTGAGGTAATCATCTGTTCCTCTTTCCCCTAAACCAAGGGCAGGCTTTCAAACAGAAGGTAGACTGGAAGCCTCCCGTGGTGTACCATACCCTAACCCCAGTGACCATTATAGTTAAATGTATTTCTATCCTCTTCTGTTAAACCATTAGTTAACCAATGACTAGCTTTGAACACCAGGGTTATACTCATTAAGTTAACTTTAAATAAATCAATAACAGATAAAATTCCTATTGGTTTTGGGCAGGCTTTAAAAGAGGCAATTTAAAAACTGATTTTTCAAGGGTTCAACTCTAGCAACTGGCAAGGGCACAAAAAACCCCTCAGCTTCCATCAATGCTATAAATGTTTTTATAGAAACATTAAAGTAACATTTTCAAGGGAATTCAGCACCCCAGATTCCCAGCCTGCCTGAAAAACCTGCTACTGGCTTGGTACTGAAATACCTGCTGAGAGTTTACATCAGTCACTAGCTTTTAAAGGCAAAAACTCTGTGCTGCCTACCACAAGCAGAAGGGGACTGCTCAGTACATACTCAGTACCAAAGGAAAAAATAATATTTTCTGAAGGAAAAAAAAAACCAAAACATTTTAATGAATGATTTTGCATTTCTTTGTCTATCCATTAGGAGAAAAGAAACAAGGCAATGGAAGAAAACTGCAAGGAGAGAAAATAACTCTTTAGGGAAATGCTAATACCTAACGTTTGCATTTCTATTTTTCAGCTAAAAGGCTGTTGTGTGTACTATAATACTATAAAGGAAAGACATAAAATCTTGATTACTTTCATGCCTAACAGCCAAATCCCATTAGTGGGGAAAAACATGTTTTACCAGTTTTTCTAAGTTTAAACTGCTAACATTTTTCACACTTAATTTTCAGATTATACTATAAAAGTCCATCATGATCAAATGCAAGGACCCCACAGACGCTGAGAAAATGAGCCAGGCCACTGGTTGGTTATAAAAAATTCCTAAATAGCCTAGCATCAAGGAACAACTAACATTTGGCAATTATCAGGAGCTAACCCCAAAACTGGGAAGTATTTTTCTGTGCCTTAAAACAAGGTATGGGTTTTGAGTGCTAGCTTCCCAAAAAATCTGGAAAAGAGGCAAGACCAAAGCCTCATGTCCTTCCATGGATTAGTCCTTCACCAGTTACACCAGTAGAAGTTGTTCCAGTAGCTCTAATAGAATCACTTGTGGAGATTTTAATAGCAAGTAGAGTGGAGAAACACATCTCACTGCAATAGCTGTTACCTCTGTGTTCCCTAGAGAGACCCTGCCTGAGCTGAAGTGTGACCCAAATACAGTCACGTTACACTGAATGCTGTAATGAGTGCTACTATAATTATCCACATAGTAGGCAACTCCATTCAATCCAGCATGTAGTTCATGTCAGCCAGTCTAAAGCACATCTTTGCAAATGCCATTCAGAATTAAGCCTGCTAATTGAAATAACAAGCTAAACCCCCAGTTACTTTTAATGCTTCCTGATGATTTCTGTAGGGCACATTGTGGAATCCTGCTGATTAATTGGCTGGTTGCAAGGAG